ATTATATCTACATAATTGTAGAAGAGGATGCTAGAGTCTACACTTTGAACTTCATAGTTCAAAAGTTGATGTATTCTTCCATAGGATGCTTTTGTGAGACCAAAAGAAAGAGGGGAGCAAGCAAGAATTTGAAGAACGCAGTGTAGCTGCAACTTTGCTGTTCGGAAATGGGTACTTCTTTGAACTCTGAATTCGCTCATCGATTTCGCAGGGTATCCCCACAGTCTTGGCCTTTACTGGGCCAAAGGATGCTGCACAGCAGAGACAGGACTTGCCTCAGCTGGAGTTGCTTGAGTAGAAGAGAAGCAATTTCCTTTTTTTTTTTTTTTCGCATTCTATTTGTGGCATTCAGTGGCTGATAGGAGATCCTGAAACGTCGTGATCAAGTGCTCGGATTGTAGCTTTTGCGAGACGGTGTGCGACACTTTTTTTGATAGGGAGATCAAAAGCCATGGTGGCAAGATGCTGCGAACCTGGGAGAACGCCAGCAGGTCAATACGGCCCTTGTACATAGAACTACTTTGGCGTCACCACAAGTACTAGAATTACTAGACACTGTGCAATATCAAAACTCTGGAGCGTTTGCCGCCCTTCGCTTTGTAAGTTGATGAGGCACACCAAGGACTTCCGAAACTAGTGTCTTCGCAATGAGTACACTTTTTTATCAGAGATGACTGACGCTTCCGATGACCGAGCCCCTTGATGATGATGCTACTGTGCTTCATTGTGCCGATTCGATGTTTTTGTGGCCTGGATCGGTTGTGCGCGAAAGATGATTGTCTGATTGTCAAGTTGCATGTGGTGACATTTCAGGGTCAAATCCACGCCTGTAGCGTGTAACCATGATTAGGTGAGAGATCAGCTAGAAGTGGGCGGCTTACAGCAGAGCGGTCCATGTTGGAATCACTGCCATCCTTTGACAATATTTGAGAAGAGTGGGCCTTCGTAAAGGAATAGGTCGTCAAAATGTGTTGTCAGGGGCGTTACTTGCGTCAGTGCTGAAAGTCATACCCGGATTGGAGTCACCCTGCACACCTTCAAGATGGATGACCTGAAGATGAACAGGAAATTCGCAGGCATGCAAGGTGTTCCATCGCTTTCTCGTGCGTAAGCAACTTCCAAAACTGATCAAGCAGCAGAAAAAAGCCGCTCCGCAGGATGTGAAGCGGACTGGTAGACTGGGCTTGCCACAATCATGCTAAATGCCTGACCCAAACTAGGCTCAGAAACGCGCTCACATTGCAGACTGAGGTCATTTGCAATGCTCCATTTCGTTCCACTAGTTGCTGGGGTAGACTGCCGCTGCTGTTACCTTGAACCCTTAGTCATTTGAACCTTGTTGGGCGCACGCGGATCCGGAAGACTTGAATTGATCAAGCAATTCTCTGACTTGGAAGGGCCGGAGAGCCGCATGAACACGGATCTGGCCTTTTCGTCCTCCTCCATCTTCAAGTTGGAAGATTATCCCGTTCTGCAGGACCAATCATGTTCTTCCAGCCAGACACAATTGAAACGGCCCCACACGTTCCTCTTTCAGCCTGAGAACCATCCATCATCTCTTTACGTGTAAACAGCGACGGTAGCATTTTTCCAATGGGCTCGGAGAACTGTTGCGGGCTGGTTCCCTGGAAACGACAGCAGGTTTCGTGAACCGGGTGGAATCATGCAGCCAAGCATGGCAATCGTGACACTCACCAAATAGGGTGCACACAGCATCTATGATTGAGAGATTGAACTCAACACACAGAGCCAAAATCCCTAAAAAAGTAAAAACAAAAAAAACAGCAAAAGCAAACAGGAAAAACAAATCCACACTCAGGAGAAGAGGTCTACTCAGGACAGGACTCATAAAACACCAAACAAGAAGCAAATATGAGAAACAATATGGAAGGAAAACATCAAATACGGATTCAAAACAAAAAACAGTCAAAAAACACAACAGTGTGAATAAATTGTTTAGTCTGGGCTGGAAGTTGCAAGCAGCTGAAACTGAAAAGTAGCGGCAGCAATCACTGAGTGTTTTGCTGAGTCCGGCTTTGTTTTTTCTCCTTTGTTCAACCTTCTGCTATTTGAGCCTCCAGTTGAGTGTGTTTTTGTGTTTGGTTTTGAGTTCTGGTGTCCCATGACTGCTTTGACTGCTGCGGTTCTGGGACAGGCGCCGTCGGTCCTGAAATCAACTCAAGCTGTGAGCGGCTGAAGCTTCCTGCCTGGGCGGACCTGGGCTACATGCGTATTTGTCAATTTACTTTCCTTTAGTTCCTTTCTCCGTTCTCCTGACGACACCTATGGACCCGCTCCTCAGGGTGCCTGGTGCCTGCTTTCCTCCATGTTTTTAACCTGAGAGTCGACTGGGATCGGTGTCGGTTTTGGGTGCCATCCCAGTCTGATTGTACTTGGACTTTTAACCACTGGAGGAAGGCCAACCAACAAGCAAAAGTGTGCTGCTTTGCTTGTGTGTGTTGTTTTTTGGACTTGATGTTTGAAGAAATCTCGAACCTCTTCTTTGTGTTAGTTAGATTTCTTAAATCTATGGGAAGTCGTCCAGCTTGATCCGTTGTCACTTGTAAAACATCAAAATCCGACATGCAATACTTCGGCACTTGTGGCTTAGCTCCTGGCCTCACTCACTCCAAAACAGTTGACTCCCATGATTTCCTGTTGCTCAAAAGCAGACTTGTTCTTGGACGAACACTACCTCTGCCATTGGTGGTGGTTCCTCGCCTTTTGGGCTCAGCTCGCTGACCGGAGACATTCTCATCTGCCATTGACGCATTCGCACCTGATCTCTGCCGTAGCCCTAGCTGGATTGACATTTGGCTGATGTTGCCATGATTCGCCATTTGTTTTGCACCGTGCAAATTTGGAGCGCTTTTGCCTCCCTAAGGAACCATTCATTGGATCATGTCTGCAGTACAGGTTTGCGATGTCGAGAGCCCAACGATTTTTTCAAACAGGTTAAGCTATCAAGTGGAGCAATTTGGCAGATACTTCTGCCTGTTGCAAGAGCATTTCATCGGCCTTTTGCTGAGTAGCCAAGTTCTGCTAGACAAACACATCCTGAGGTTCAGGGCATGTGCCACAATGCCCCCCGTCATTCAGGAGCACTTGCAAACATTACTGGGAATGTTTTGCAACAAGTGCAAGTGTGAGTGTGTGTGTGTGTGGGTGACACTGCGCTTGTGTGTGATGTGTCGAAGGTGTGAGGTGAGCAGTTAGGTTTGCATTCTCTCCCTCTCTACATATTATATATATATATATTTGGTTGGATGGAACGGCATGTTTAACCGAAATCACCACACACCAGCACGGTGGTCCCTCCAGCTGGCTGCGCTATGACGAGCAACATGACATTAGCAAACCTCAATAGTTTTCACGTGCTGCTCCCGTGGTAGCTCTGGTCCAGCAATGAACACAGAGGCAAGTGACCCTTGGCCCAAGCGTGGCTCCAACATACTTGTACCCGAAGCCGGCATAGCTAAGCTACTTTACCTAGCAGCACGAACTTGTTATTGACACGGTCAAACCAAAGCATTCATATGCGCAACAATCGACACACCACAGAGTGCAACTTTAGGAACGATTACGAGAAGCAAACTTTAGGAAGAAACTTGGGGCCTTGTGCATTTAGCAAAGAAATAAATTCTTTCTTTAACGGGATAGTAGGAGCTGAGCAGCTGGAAGCTACTGCAAGATATACAAGATAAGTTTTCGTTTAATGAACAGGGCAAGCTAAACTAACTAGAAAGGCAGCATAGACAAGATTTGACGAGATTTTGCATTCGGTGGTTCTACAGGAGAAGGGAGAAATTCAGCTCACGTCTGGCACGCGGGGCTGGCACTATTTGAGCTGCTTTCTTCATTGTAAAATACTGCAAGCGTAGTTTTTCGGTCTTGATTGATGACAGGCTGCAGCCGTGCAAGCAGATCGATGAGTCTCCAGGTGACAGTTCGGAGCTAAGCCAAAGCCTACACAAGAGCGCTGGATCGCCACAGAAGCATTTTCAAATCCGTACAAGTGGTTTGCAAGGCCTGGATGATAGTTCAGATGGTTACGACGATGACAATTCGCCTGGCTCTCAATATTGCAAGGAACAGCATCCTTCTCATACTTCCAAATTATTCTGCTTTCCTGATTGTATGAAGCTGAACTCAGGTGTCGTGACGAAGATGACTACTATGCATTTCTCCGCGAGATGGTACGCAGTGTTTCTTTTTCAGAGCACCCATGAAGAAAGCTTGCTAAACTTGAGTCCTGCGCATGTTGCAGACACATGTGTCAAGAACAGGCAAATAAATGCAGGCTTTCAGCAAGCTGTTGATTGCATCCAATCAGCTTTGTACAAAGATTGCTATCAGGTTCATTCATACTTATATACATAACCATTGTGTTTGACTAACATATTGTGATAGCTCCAACGATCATTTGCGCGATAGGCGGGATCATTCGAGGCAACCTACGATGAGGACTTTTTGTGTACATTGTAAGTGCATTTTAACGTTTTGATCAAACAATGTTCATCGAAAAGAATCCTTCTATTTTGTGATATAGCAAAACAAAAAGACAACTGGAAAACATGCTGAGCAACCATCCTCAGATTGCTACAATTTGTTTCTGCACATTAGATCATCCCGTTGAGCATTTTATTGACTTTGCCTATTTGCTTTGCCTTCAGCTACGTTCGTTGGGCTTATTCGTGCCCTTATTTCAGTTCTGAAAAGCTGTCTCCTCCGAATGGTGTTTATCGTCATACACTCTGCTCGAGACTCTGCATACGGTTTGAGATCGGCCCGCAGGCTTTGCTCGTTGGTTGATTGATGGGATGCACGTTCCAAGATTTGCATGGCTTTTTGGCAAGTCATGAAGGATCAGTCCTGAAAGACCATGAGCATTAGACTGGGTTGCTGAGATGCTGAGCAGGTTATGAGGTTTTGCTCCCCTGACATTCTGATTCGTTGGATGTTCTTTTCAACAAATACATTGACTCGATCAACTCCTCCAATTTGCTTCAACTCCAAAGAGTGCACTGACTGCGCCGGGAGTGCTATTGCCATGCCATTTTTGCGGTCGAAGCTGGACAAGAACGCCGTCAGCCTGCCGCATTTGTTTGGGGTCAACCTTGATGAGAGAACAGAATTAAGTTTCAGTGCACATTTATCGCTATTAGGTTGGAGGCCATCGCTAGTAGATCGGAGAATCTCTGCTGCAGGTCTACTTCAAATTCGCTCATGAAGGCCATGCTCTGGAAAAGGTGGAGCAGAAGCCTCGGCTGACCGACAAAGGCTCTTAGTTTCAAAGCATAGTGTTTCTGGCTCTTTGGCCTTGTACATCCTTGATGTTTCAGTGGGATTCACTTCCTCCTCTTCCCAGAGCACCCACAGATAAGCAACAAAATGTTTATGGTATGTATTAGACCGTCCTTCAGATGTCTTTAGCAAGCGTCGTCTTCAGTATCACCCCCAAAGGTAGTGACAACAAAATCCAATGTGGTCTCGGAACATTTCAGAACAGGATCAGATGGCTGACCTGTTCCTTGCTGTCATTCTGGCGAAAGAACCGATAGGCTTCCTTTCAGACCTTATTGGGGTGGAAGAAGCTGGGCAGCTCCGCCGTCGGCAGACCATGGTTGAAAGTCCTGCAGTCAACAAGCACTTGAGCACAGCCAAAAGAAGATGCAAGGAAAGGGCAAGACCGAGGGCAACGGAGGGGTTCAAGCCGGTCACATCAAAAAGATCCTCGCAAGGTTGCCGCCTTGCACGTCTTGTGACATTAGCAAAAATCACCAATTGAGAGAAGCCACGATGAACACACGGAAATCTATCTTAGATGTCCACAGCAAGAACCTGCATCAAGGTCGTCACCCCAAAGCACTGCAAAGCAACGGCGGTAGCTGACAATAAACACAACACTGATGAAGATCACAAATCATCATTCATGCTGCTTCACGAGAAAGCTGCGCAGACGGCATTCGTCATCACAGCAGTACCAAAAGCATGACCGCCCAACGCAGCAAGCAGCAACAAGGAGAATTCCTCTACCAACTACCAACCTCTTTGAGTTCGCAGAGCTCGCATACACTGCAGTATGCGAACTGCAGATCACGGCAGCATTGAGGTTCTATGGCAAAGAGATTGCAGTCGGGGATCTTCGGCACTCCATTGCCGAGATGAAGAAACTGCCCAAGGCACTGCTCGGTCAGGTGATTGAGCTGTCAACCGGCCTTTCCCATATCGAGAGGCTATGGATTCAGGTCCTGCAATGGTGTTGATAGATGCCTTGCCTCATTGGTCAGGTTGACTTGCAGATTCTCAATGAATCCACCGGCGAGGTGCCTTCAAATCCCACCTCATTTTCTCCTTCCATCCAGAAGAATTTAACTTGCTCCTAGTAGCGATGCCCTTTGTTACTAGTTACTAGTAGCTTCTTGTTCCTAGTAGTAAGGCCAGGAGCCACTAGCGTCCTTAGTTGTGTTTCTTGAGGTTTACGCTCGTGATGGCCACTTGCTGAGCCGCAACATTATTGTGACGGTCCGACGCACGCCGATACAGACACAGAAGAAGCCCTCGGTCTTGAACCTAGAAGGCCGGATTGCATACATTTTGTGACTGGGTGGCAGATGTACTACTCATAGATGACATTACGGTAGCCATAGTCCGCAACAGTTGCCCTCAAATGCAGCTTTTCTTCCTTGTACGGATGTTGGCCGTTTGTGTGTCATTGGCTTGCTTCCAGTTTTGACAATACTTCTATCATACCCTTGTGAGAATTGCTGGACGGTCGTGAGTTGCATAACCCTGTTTCAGGAGCTGACCTCTTTGCACCAGTGAGGAAAAAGGCACGAGTTGTCAAGAAAGTGGAGCCTGACACTCAGTAACTGTGAGCATCACAGTGTGAGCATCACAGCATTTGTTGCTTCCACAGAGGCTTCCTTGAAGGGCCAACGCCCATGTGGAATTGCAAGTGTTAAGACATGTTAAGACACTCGGCCTTGGGAGTTTCAGGCCAGAGGTACCTGAGCAGAAGGCGCCCTGCCCACCTGAGTATTTGTGTTGGAACCTCAGAGAGAAGGACCATCTCAGGCAGTCTTGAGCTGACCTGACAAAGGCAGACATCTGACACTCAAGAAAGCCATTACTTGAACAAGTTTGCGCACTTCACGTGAATTCGAGCAACTCCAATCACATGACATTTGTCATCTGTCACCGTGAGTGGACCTCGAGGCCCTTTGTGCAGAGGCATTTTCGTTTCTTGGACGCACTCGTGTTCCTTGAACATAGATGAGTTTGACATTATATTACTATATATATATTATATATATACTATATATATAATATGTATGTATAATGATAGTATATCCTTCATTGGTTGAGTTGTAGTTCACCCTAAGGAGAACCCAGGAATTGCACGGTGTTGCGGACGGTCTGCCTGCTTCAGCTGCTTTGAGGACTGCAAAGAGCCAAGAGCATAGACTCGGACCTCGAAGATATCTTACCCGCACATCCTACGGATTCTATGTGGAGGCCATTGCCATTAGGTTGGAGGCCATCGCTATTAGTGTGGAGGCCACCGCTATCATGTTGTGGGCCATCGCTAGTAGTGTGGAGGCCATCTAGTAGGTTGGAGGCCATCGCTAGTAGTGTGGAGGCCATTGCTAGCAGGTTGGAGGCCATTGCTAGTAGGTTGGAGGCCATCGCTAGTAGTGTGGA